CCGGCGGCCGCCAGCTGAGGGAGGAGGCGGGCAGAAACCCCGCCCCGGGGCGGCGGGGGCAAGCGGGGAGCACGGAGCTGGCATGAGAGGCAGGCACCGCGGCAGGGCGACCCGGGGTGCCAAGGCGGCAGAGGTGGCCCGAGAGGTCACGAGGTGGCGGAGGACGGTGACGCGAGGGGAAGAGAGTTCCAGACCCCCGGACGTGCACTGGACCCGGAGGCGAGGCGGCCCGAGACGCTGGCCCTTGGAGCGACACTTCCAACAGACCCAGAGGGGCCGTGAGTAGCCCCCCTGACAGGCGCCAGGTCCTCCCCATCCCAGATTACAGGGACTCTCCCCCAACCGGGGAAGCGGACGGCTTGTTGGGCGGTAGGTTGGTCTCTCCCAGATAAATGGGCGTAGACCACAACCTAAACCTCCCTTTGCAAGCAAGCCTAGAGCAAAGCTAGGGAGTGGGGCCTCCATGCAGTCAACGCGAGGACGCGTCCCCACACGGGTTTGGGGGGGGGGAAGGGAAGGCGGGCTATTACAACCTTTGCCAATCCGAGCAGGCTTTGTATGCATTAATAGAATACACCGCTTGCCGGGATTGGCTCAGCGCGGTACATACAGTATCAGCACAGGGACGTTCTGTATAGGGGGGTAGTCTTATACGGCGAGTATAGGCCAAAACCTATGTTTTACCTGGAAAATTAGGGGGTCGTCTTATACGCCCAGTCGCCTTATACGCCAGAAAATACGGTACACTGCTTGCTGGATAAGGCCCTTAAGTAATCATAATACTGCGAGTGAAATCCTGACCCCCATTGAAAACAATGACAAATTCCCATTGACTTCAATGGAGCCAGGATTTTCCCCATTGTGCTGAAGGAGTTGTGATTCTTCAGGGCTAGATTCTGATATCCTTACTCATATTCTGTAGTGTCTGCTTCCCCAAAAAAGTCCCATTAAGGTCGTACTCAATGTGATTATAAGTCTCAGAATTTGGCCTGTAACATAATTTCATGATTCTCAGCTGCAAAAGCCAAGAATTTCTTTTTCCAATGAAGAAGACCAAAAGGACAATGACTGCAAAGGCTTTCACTAGCTAACAGGAGAAGACATCCAATGTATCCATTAAATTAATAAAAACAAGTTAGAACCATTCAGAGATCTGTCCATGTTACAAAAAAAACACCTAAAGGAAATTAGCAGAAAATAGAAGACAAAATACCTTAGATTAGCATTTTGGTTCTGTACTTTTTGTCTTGATTTTGCTGTACTATTTAATCCAGCTATATTGCTAAAAACCACAAATGAAAGAAAAATCCATTATAGGCAGCACTTAATTTTTTATGTGACTGAGCCCTGGCACTTTTAGGCTTGGCAGTTGATGGCTCCAGCACACATGGGCTCACAGCCAGCAGCTGTGGCTCTCTGACCACCAAGCTCTGAAGACAGCACCACTACCAGCAGCTGTGCAGAAGGGTGGCAACACCATACCATGCTGCCTTTACTTTTGCAGTGCTGCTGGCAGCAGCGCTGCCTTCATACCTGAGTGCCCAGGTTGAATCCCAGCACCTCTTTCACTACAAATTAGGTTCTGATTATAGGCCATTTAACACAGCTATTACTTTGAGCGAATGCTGGGCTATGCAGAAATCTAAACCCAATGTAATAGAGGAAATCTTAGGTGATGCAAATTGCACATTGTATATTAAA